AAGGATGTGTGTGCATGCAACACACTCGCTAAGTAGCTGGTGGATTGGAGTGGATGGGATTGGATGGTGGATGGGGGATGAAAACGGGTGGCGCTGGTGGTTTCGGCGCGTGATCCTGCGAAAAGGTTGCCCGGGCAATTGAGTGTGAAAATTTTGTAGGCATAAGCGAAGCACCAAGAGGTTGACTAATGCACGAGCAGGCACTCAACTGCCGTGTCGATGCCTCCCTGGATCCCAGGGAGCCCGAGTTCGAGCCCAGCCCATACCCAAGCCCCAGCCTGGGCCCTCTTCCCGGCCAGAAGTTGCTCTGACAGCTTATGAGCCAGGTCAAAGGACTGCCAGGTGGCAGGAATATGACGCTAAGGCTGAGGCCGCGGCCGTGGCAGGGACAAGGGCAAGAACAGGCGACGAAGCCGTCGACAAGTCAATAAATATGCTCCCAGATATTCATGGGCGACATGTGCTCAAAACCGAAATCCGTAACGGGGGCGAAAGGCCTGGCTTAATCACGTGGCGACGACACTCGTATGTAGCTTGTTACGTCTAATGCCGAGGGTCCTGCCAGACGTCAGAGCATTGACATTGATTTGTTTTTCGCCCTGTCGTCCGTCCTGATGAGTCCACTCCGCGTCTCTGCTTCTCTGCGTCTCACTTATTCGGGGATTGTAATACGCTTTTGATTCGCCCGAAATTCCATTTTTCACAATTTAATGCGCATTTCGCTACGTGTTGTCGTCACCGGGGCCATCTGGAACGTGCCCGGAGCCACTGGGCCCGGAAAGCACGCAGGCCAGGCTCCGTCTGGGCCTCCGGCCCACATCTATCATAGCCCGGGCATTTGTCACGTGAGGGACAACGTGATTTCATTTTCCTGTCGCCATAAAGGTGACACATTGCATTCGTCCTGCTCCATTTGTTGTGTATTAGTCTAAGTACGAGTGATTTTGTACTTGTGTGGGTTTCTATTTCTGTTTATATTTCCGTTTGGATCTGTGCATCTCCTTTTTGTTGCTTTAAATGATCTGCTTGAAGTGTGTGGGGGACAAGCACTCGCAATTTATTCGGCGGTCGAGCGAGAAGCTTTCCATTGATTTTCATGGCGCAGGCTGGCTAACATGTTGTTAAACCGCAGCAACGCGAGCAAACAAATTGCCCACAGCAGTTGGCCAAAAATTGTTCAACATAACTTCAGATTTTATGGGCCACATGTGTGCGAAAAAGGAGGTCGGTCGGCGGCGGAGGAGCATGTGGGCATTCATTGCGGGCTCAGTGGTGCGGTGGGCGCCAGAGTTTACTATCAGTTGGCCGGCGTGGCTGCGAAATTAGCGCTCCACTACCTCTCCGCGGTTCTCCATCGCTCTTCATGGTTCTCTGGTGCTAACCTGGCCAACAATAGTCTTTTTCACCGTGTTCACCTTCCCCCGCCATCCACCCGTTCGACTTGTTCGCCGTCTTTTGCGGCTTGGCCAAGTTTCATGTCAAAAGTGCACTCCATGAATATTTCACTTGCAATCACATTGTTTTCCCGCTAACTTTTTAGATTGTTTTAACATGTGGCGGAAGTGGGCGTGGCCGGCCGTGGGAGTGGCACGTAGCGTTGCAACAACAGTATCAAACTTTGGTTTTCACTCAATTTTGGCAATGCTTGCCACAACCTTGCCGCCCACCGCTAGCCTCCCAGCGATCCGAAATAGTTTGGAAATTTCAGGTCCTTCCACGCAGAGAAATGTGCTGTATTTTAAGAGACTCTTTAATATATGGTGCATATTTATTGGAAATTTTAAAGGTAAAGAATATCATTTAAACAGAAATTCATGCAGACAATATCCTTATGCCCATACTCATGGTCTCCTTATTTGGTAACTAGATATGAAATCAACGAAAATTTTCCTGACTGCAAATGTTGGTCTTGCTGCACTTTCGTGTGTGTGTGCTGAGGTAATCCTTGATTCCCTTGTGCTAAATTTGCCAGTTCAGTTTGGTTTTCTAACGTTGCCCTTTGTGCTTGGCACGTTAATAGTGCCAGGAGCTCCGGGCTCCGGACTCTGGGTTTGTCTTGCCGAAATATGGGAGATTTATGCAGACGTCTGGCCAGCCAGTCAAGACGAAGGCCACTTTGGCAGGTGTAGCCGCTCAAGAGAGAGTGTTACGTGCTGGCCCCTACAACTGCCAACTGCCATGAAATGCACCTGCTTATATCTGCTTCTTTGGCGCTCTATCATGGGATTGCTCCGGCTTAAAGTTTGCCCGAGCTGTCAGTAGTTTTTCCGCGCTCAGTGCGCCGTTTAATGAATTTCCCTTATTTTTTGTTGTTGTCCCTTTGTTTGTCCTTTTTCTGTGTAGTGCTGGAGTGCTCGGTACTCGGTGCACGGATGCTAGCAAGTGCTCGGCAAGCTGTTCCAGCGCCGTTTCATTTGTCGCAGTTGCATCGCACATCTCCATGCGCCACCGGAGCGCCGGGGCGCCGAGCAGGTGCGTCCCAGGGCCGAGCTCTCGAAATTACAGCAGCTGTTGCTGGAACAATGAACGACGAACAGCCCTGGCATTTTCTATGTTTTATGCACTTTGCGTGCTACCAAATTTGGCCATTTTTTTGCCTAGTCTCCCCGGGCTGGGCGGGTACTGCGGAATGCAAAATGCAAACAGCAGACTGCAAACAGCAAACAGCAAACACTTTTGACGAAGGTCAGCGGGCGCAGGGGGAGTGAGACTAAACTAAAAAAACTTGTTTGATAATTTTCTACTCAAATTGAATATCTGCAACTGTATATGTGAGGCAAACTTTTCTTATTCTCTGCGAATAACTTTAATGGAAAAACTTTGAATATCAAACCGCAAAAACAAAAAATCGTTGCCAGCGAGCGGAGGAGTGGAGGAGCGGAAGAGGAAGGGGCCTCAGGGCTTCAGAATGGGCACTAAAATTGGAAAATTGAAATTGAATTGTGGACACACATACATACAGATAGGGAATCGAGCCGGGCTGACCAGACACAAACAGAAAACTTGCAACTCCAATTCGACTTTCGTTTCGATTCGGTTCAATGAGTTCATATTCACCTCTGGGGAGCGGAGAATAAAAATTAAATCAAATAAATATGCAGGATATAGTCCTGCGGCACGTGTGGCTACAAATGAGAGGCGAGTCCTCCGGGACACTGGCTGCGGATCAGGGCCCAAGTGGCACAAAGTCATTGGGTTTATTAGCACTCGAGCGCCAAATCCCAAGACAACAGGCAACACGCAGAGCTGGGCAGGCATGGCCGGAAACCCTTCCGTGGCGGAACTCGCCTCTGCTGACATTATTTCGTTATTATCCACATCAAGGAGTCGATTGACAGGAGCACAGGCACGTGCTGCCAACGCCTTTATCCGTCCTGCAAAAATATTGTCGCAGCCAACGAGCCTGGCTCGAAGCTGGCTAGCCAGCTACAAAAGAAATTATATTTACCAGGCCAGGAAGATCCAAAGCAAAACAAAACCAAAATAGGCACAAGTCAGGTCACAGGACGAAGGCAGAAGAGCAGAGAAAACAGCAAAGGAATCAAATAAAATGCCAGCGACATGGCATCGAGGGTCGTGCCAAGTCCTGTGTCGTCCCGACAGCCTCCACTCCTAGCAAGTGCGTGCTGCTGACTTTTGGCCTGGCCCACCTATTTTTTGTGCCGACGCCAAAGGACTCCCCTCTAGTCCTCTACCGAATGTTTCCGCAGCAGATAAATACAACATTTGACACTTCATTATTGTGCCCGCAGCGTAATCGAATCAATTCAATTCCAGGTCCTTGGCTGGCCACGTCAGGCCTTGTCATGGTGTCAAAAGTGCTAGGTCCTCGCCCGCATCCGCTTTCGCTTTCGCATTCACATCCGCATTCGCATCCGCAGGACCCGTCGCCCCGTTCATTGTTCGCTGAGAGCCCCCAGGCTCAAGGCAGCTTGCCCTGTTGACACATTCGCTTAAACGTATTAAATTGTTTGCCGTCGCCTTTTGGCATCGACGGACCTCGTTGGCGGAGCTTTGTAGCTGACGCACAGTTTTTTTCCAGTTTTTCTTGGCTTTCTTATTTTTTTTTTTTTTTATTTGTGTGTTTGGTTCGTTCTGGGCCAGGCCAGCACTCGGGGATCCTTGATGGCCCTCCGTTTGCTTTTGCGTGCGGAAGTGCGCCCAGCGTAGTCGTATCTGTATCCGCATTTGGCCCTGTCACACTAAAAGTAATCGATTACCTTGTTACCGGATATGAGCGTATCCGTTGGGGGCCCTCTGACCAGGTCCCCAAACCCACGACAAATGATGGGTGTGCGGCGTTTAATTGAGTTTAATTGGGGCTGGCCGCAGTGCCTGGCTATTTATGCAATAATCATTGTTTAATTACAAAACCAAATAAATACTCTAATACTCCTGGCATGCAGTTTGGGCCTTTGATGCGGGCTCATGGGGCTAAATAAATTATGCAAGACACGAATACTCCAATTTCTCTGTGCGTGTGCGTGTGTGTTTGAACAATTGAATTAATTCAGGGCTCAGTGGAGAGCACTGGCCCAAAAGTATGCTTAAATATTTAAGTGCATTTTAACACTTTACACGCACACGCACACCCAAGGAAAAGATGCAGACGCACAAACACTCACACTCAGATGGGCAGATTGACATATAAAATTGATTAGCAAATCAACAGCAAGTGCATTAAATTATCTCCCCATCCATCGCAATCCTCTGACGGCCGTCCGTAAATTTGTCAACTTTCATTGGATGGGCATAATAAAATGCACTTTATGAACTCTGCCCGACATCTGACAAATATTCTTAAATGCACTAAACCAATTAGCCACACACATGGCCAGGATCTGCGTAGAGGATGTCCTGAGAGCCAGAGTGTGTGCACACAGACTCGGCAAACCGAGACGAGGCGAGTAATAATATTTTGAGTAATTTACTTTATATTTTGTGGGGAAATACCAAAAGGCATTTGATATTAAAAGTCTGTCTGTGTGTCTTTTTTGCAGTGTCCGCCCAGAGCCTGATGACGAAGAACGAGCCCATGTTCATATCACGTTCAGAGACATTCAAATTTATCACCGGCGAGACAATAGTGCTGCCTTGCGAGGTGGCCAACACGGGTAAGTAAAGGGAAATGAGAAGTGAGAGAAAGAGAAGGAGAGGTGGAGAAGGAAAAGGAAAATCCCATTTTCCATCGGGCATACCGACATGACCAGGTTCGCCCACGCAGTTTGCATTTAAATGCTGAGGTCGAAGGCTCTGCCATACAAATAATTAAGCCGACATTATGCGATGCCCACAACTATGCATTAATCCCCGGGCCAGGACTAAATTTCAGCTCCCTGCTTACTGTCCGGAATTCTCTGTCAGCCCCGACCGCAGAAAAACAGGACCAGCGGTCAAATCGGACATCGGACGTCGGTCGTCGGGCGGCGAGTGGCATCCGTCCAAGACATGTGTAGTGGTCACGGCGTTTTTGCTGCGGTCTTCCGCTCCACTCCAGTCTTGGCATTTGAGAGCTGCTCTGACCAGCGTCCGTGTACGTTTTTCAATTTAAATGCGGTCGTGTGTGCGAGATTATTTGTACATAACAAGGATTTAGCATAAGCAACAGCATGTGAGGATGTGAAATGTGGGAGGAATAAAACCGGGAGGCAGAGGCCAAGACAGCGCCGCCCAAGATGGTCAAAACTTGAGCCACTCGTCGTGGACAAAATGTTACATAAAAACTTCGGACCCAAGACACTAGGGGCACATTTTATGTGTACACTGGAAAAACAATATAAAGTGGGAGGAGTATTTATGATTTTGATTAATAAAACATAAAAAAGTACTATAAAGGGAATCCGAATTTTTGAGGATAAGATTTATCATTCAACTTGGTCAAATTATTTTATTGAAAATTCGTTGTGTATCAATCAAAAATACTACAAAATCTGTACTTTCTCGCCGTGTACTTCGTTTCGCAGACACACTAGTACATATGTACCCGCTTATGTAGACACATTCCCTATGTGCTGGGGAAGTCTGCGGTCTGAGTATCCGTTCATAAGAAAAGGAAATACAGAACAAAGAATTTCATTTGCGTTTCTCATGCACTTGATTGCCTCTGACAAGGACGAACTCTGCAACTTCGACTTGGACGAAGACGAGGACCAAGTCTAAGACCAAGACGAGAACGTTGAGGAGAACGCAGACGGGAACGGGGACGAGCTGGCTACGCAGACGATGCGATACATAGACAATTTCTGCAACAAAATTATAGCTGCGGGCATTTGGGTACTAATAATAAAAAAGCAGGGCACAGAGCAGAAAATACCGGAGTGGATGGAGCTCAAGAAAGTAAATACAAAAAGGAGGCGGCGGCCGGGACAATACAGGACGAGGAAAATAAATTGCCTGGGCGTTGGTTTACCCTGCAGTTTCTCAGTTCCCCAGTTCCCCAGTTTCTCCCCTGGCTAAGGCCACATTATGCTAATAAAGTGCCCATACGACAATTTCATTACTGGCATGGCACGGCTCGCGACTTAGGCTCGTCCTTAACCAGAATAATTAAAAACGAAGCCGCGGCTCGATTTCTTGCTTTTTAATAACGCATGCTTTATGGCACGCCGCTCTGCCGAGTGAAATATGATTAGAAGCGATTCGGAATCCAGCGATTTGCGGGTGCAGGTGAGCCGGAACACATCCCTTTTTATGGCCGCGCACATAAAGTGTAAAAAATAATTGATAGAATTTTTAAAACCCCACTAAAACGACGAGTTTTGCAGTGAAACTCTGCAACGGCACTTTGTACAATTTATGCGCATTTTCATTCCGTTTTATGGATGCAAACTCGTAAAATTCGAACGGAAAAATAAAGGAAATCACACAAAGGCGGTGAGCGGAGTGCGTGTGTGAGCATTTCCATATTATATGAAAATGCCTTTAAACACTTATTACGCAGCTTTGAGCCCCGAAAGAGTAATCTTTCAGCTCGAGTGCTCTGGGAAATCGGGAACCGGGAGCTGAGAGCTGGGATCCAGGGCCACTGCAATAGTCGTGCAAACAGTGAAACAGTGAAACATCTCATCATTATCATTTCATTTGAATTTTTATTTGCTCTTCAATGTCTGGCACGCAAAGTCTGTTTATTCCATTGTCTGCTCTCTGTTGTCTGTTTTCCTGTTTGTTTTCACTCCTGCTTTCCCCCATGGCAGCAACAGAGAAGAGAGTTTTCGCACTTGGCTAGAAAGAACCTTCTAGAGTGGAAATACTTGAACTCGTCTATAACAATTTGCGAGGAAAAACCAAATATTTCTTTGATCATACGGGGGAATGGGTGTGGCCGCAATTCTGTCAAAGCGTAATTATAATACCAGTTTCTCAGCTTTGTCTACAATATCCCCTCCACAACCTGACCAGTCAAAGGATGAGCCGGTGTCCTGGCAAAGAAAACAAACAAAGACAGGTGACAAAGTGTTCTTTTGGATCAGTTTAGGCTTCGGACGTTTGCTTAGGCCAATTTGCATGTTAATCCTCAGGCTGTGCCTTTTGAAACAAGTAAATATTATTATATAATTTATGCTTGTAAAGTTTGCCATTCTTAAAACCTTCACAAATATGTGGCCGAGCAATGGCAAGCTCACTTAATCCTTGGTAAAACCGATTTAATTTCCCCTCATAATATTTTCATTAAAAAAGAGCTGGACTGGCAGTCTGCGCTCGTTATACATTGTTGCAATTTTTAAGCTTTTTCAAATCGGCTAATTAATTGCTCTGGCCATTTTATCCACTGCTCAACTTGTCTGCATGCAAAGCCCTTTATGCCGCCGACTGGCCAGTGTGTCGTGTGAATTTTTCATTGCGGTTTCCCGCCAACAACAGCAACAGCAATAGCAGCGGCAAGAGCTACAACGAGCAAGCAAACACAGTCAGAGCAAAAACATTTAACAACTGGCAAACTGGCTGTAACGGGCTGTGACTGTAAACTCGAATGCAATAAAATTCAAAACACAAAAACCCCGTCATTGCGGCCATACAAACGCTCATTACGCTTTGATGGAGAGCCGGCGCTCGAAACTATTACTATTACTGGTCCTAGAACTGGCCGGGCGAGACCGGCGAGCGAACGGAAATGGAATCGTACCGCAAAAGTTGAAGTTGTGCAAACAGCAGAACGGACCACTTGACTCCGGACTGCGGACTCCCGGACTGAGCACTCCTCACCGACTGCGGATGGAGTGCGGCGGTGCAGCGGCGGAGGCAACAAAGTTTCAATATTAATGCCATTTACAGTTCTAATTTCGCTTTTTACGTACACACACGCACACTTAACACACTCTGGCAAACACTGGCAAAGTTTAGCAAGAAGTTGCAGATAAGTCGGACCCCGAGCCCCGTGCCCCTCGCCATTGTATGTAGTTTGCCTGCGGCGGCTTAGCCGCAACATCGTTTATCTTCGGGGGTCATCATCTTATAATATTGGCCTTTCCGACATGCAATAAATTGCGCTCAGACAAACAACATGTCCGTTGGTCGGCCTTTGGTCCGTCGCCTGCTGCTAGGCTGCCACACTGCGAGAAAACTCAGCTCAAGGCAGTGGCGGCGGCGGGGGGCTGGCGATGGCTGGCATATTGCGCATACGCACAGTATGCCCGGAGCAAACACACAAAGGCGCTGTTGCAACAATGCGAGCATTGGCCATATTTGAATTGGTTATATGTATTTGTTGTGTGTGCATGTGTTTATGTGTGCCTGTGTGAATGTATGTATCTCTGTCACTGGGTGAAGTGTAGAAAACTAAAAGTTGGCTTTCGGCTGTAAACAATGAACCGTCGGCTCTCTGCAGCAGGACGTGCGGTCGGCCATTTGTCCAGGAGGCCGTGTTTATGTGAGCCCAGTGAGGATGAGCCCGACATACAGAAACCGAAATGCTTTTACCGAGTTTCCGCCCCATGCCAGCCACTCGTTCAGTCTCATCCGCTTTTCCCCACTTTCCCCACATTCCCGCTTTTCCGCTTGCCGCTCGCTTAACGGCGCAATTGTTTGCATGTATTGTTGTCGTAATGCCTAGCCTGCCCCGCCCCATCTCGCCTCCCTCTTCCCTCGCTGTGTGTGCCTGTGTGCGTTTCTATTTAGTTTAGAACACTTAAACCGGAAATTGAGGCGTTTCGTGTTTTGCTTGTTTTCGTTAGATTGTTGTTATTTTAGTTAACAATTTATTTAGTTGCAGCCGGCAGTGGCACACACATGGAACAAGGCTCCTTATTTATGTGAGCCGTGCATCGGACAAGAGTCCAGAGTCGGCAGTCAGAGTCTTTAGTCCTGAGTCCCGGAGTACCGATTCTCAGCCTCGAGTCCTGCTCAATCTTGGCTTCTTGAGAGCAAGAGGCTGCTGAATGGCGCCTGCAGAATAATTATGTTCGTACTCCGCAAGGAATTAAAGTCTCTCTTTTGATTCTAAACACGCTTTCAGGGAAATTTCTTAAAAAAAAAACCCTTAAATTCAATTTCAGTCCATTTCAAGCACCAAAGCTGCCCCCTTTTACGGGTGTGGATTGCAATGCCATCGCTCCTTCTCCATAACAAAGATATTTCTTTAAATAATTGCCAAACCAACACACAGGCCCGAAACATAAGCCTGCCAATTAGTCGGAGCTCGTTGAAATTAACCAATTGTGTGCTTTTCAAATCCCCCAATGAAACCAAATAATTGACAGACTGAAATTGTATAGTGCAGTTCGACTTGTGCAATTTTGATGCCTTTTGCCCAATTTCCATATCCCTGCGCAAAAATTCGACTTGGCAATGTACCAGCAACACCGACTGACGTTGCTTCATTTATAACTCAATCAGGCGGCTAATATGATATGACTGCACATCGCCAGCACGTAGAGTACGTATGTGGCAACACTTGCCACTCGGTGCCCCCCCCTAATTCCTAAGCAGCCTGCCTGCGAGGAGTGGGTCTTCGTGGCGCAAAGCCCACAACTCAATGCCCTCGCACCTCGCCGCCCCAAAGAATTATATTTTCCGTTCTCTGTCGAGTCTCTCTGCGGCAGGGACACCACACCACCCATCCACACACAGGCCCAGCGACCACAATTCCTCCTTCTCCTACGGCAAATCCGCCACCTACTCCACCGCCAGCAGCTCCTCCTTTTAGGGCACGCTAACGACAGCAGGTGGTGCTCGTTTATTTATTTGTTTTTGCAGTGCACTGCGCCTGCATAGCCTGCCGCCTCTCAGGTTTTCAGCCTTACAGCCTTACAGCCTGGCAGCCTTCGCCGCCACCGGAGCTCGTACCTTGGCTTGTTGATGTTGTTGAACTCATTGCAAATAAATACGCTTTTTGAATGCGCATGTAAATGACTTCATAAGCATTTTATTACGGCCCAGCCAACTCGGGCTGAGCTCCTGCTGCACTCGCACCCGTTCTGGTCCTGGAACTGGAACTGGTGCTAGGTGCATGTCCTAGTGTGTGGCTCTGGTGTGTTTGCGTACGGGGTAAAATCAATTTGAGAAAAACGAGTCGCCTCTAAACAGCTGAGTCCCAGGTAATGGCATAAATATTATAGGTTTAAAATTTTTCTAATAAAATAAATATCTTAACGGTAAGATTCTAGTACTAAGAAGCACTTTATTTAACTTTAATAAATATTCTTAAATTTTGACTTGCTTTTAAAACAAAGCAGAGTTATCGATGCTATTTATCTGAGCGCAGCTGTGCATAATTCTCCACTACCTTTGATTTTTCGGCAGCAGAAGAGCACACTTAGTCATCGATGGTGGGCAAAATTGTTTTAATTTATAATGAACGCCACTCGTTGGCGCCGAAACACGGAAGTCATACATCATTAGTAGCAAATCCGGTAGCTTCAATACACATTTTCAATACTTCCACTGCCACTTCCACTGACAGTTCCCCAGCCATTGGGCTCCACTTCCGCCCCTCCTTGTTTCGTGCTCTGCACGCGCGCGGAAATTTACATCGAGGAACTCACATAAATTGAAAAAGGAATCACAATTAATGAGTTCGATGAATACGCCATTGCCAATGGGCTGCTGTACGTGAATGAGTGCTGGAGTGTATACACATTAGGATGGACCTTAAGATATATTATTTTTGGTTAAAATAATATAAAGAAAATAACATAAATTTAGAGTTAGCAGTTTTGAATATGCTTTGAAAAATCAAATCATGAAACGCCACTCAGTGAGTATTAATGGTCCACCCTAGCTTAGATGTGTTCACATGTGTCTGGCTGGCATCCTTCCGCTAGGCAGTCTGCTGGTACTGTTCCTGCCCCTGCTGAAAGCATCCTGGTGTCTCTGACTGCCTCTCATTCTGGCATATGATTGCAAATGCCGCACATTAGCGGATATCAAGTGGATGTTACTGAGTGCCTGTCTGACTCTCATCCAGTGTTGTTGCCGCCGCCTGTCTGCGGTTTATATTCCACTCTGGATCTGGATGTGGATCTGCCTTTGCCTGCGCGTGTGTGTGCGGGTCCATGCCAAATTGAATTCCTAGCCTTTTTAGATCCTTTGAAGCGGCCCGTAATTGAGTCATTTTAATTCTGACTTTTCAATTTGTGCTGCCAATGCAACGCAGCCACTTGAATCCGCCATTCGATTTAATAACTCTCGAACGAAAATTATCAATTATGATTCCATACTGATTTCGACATTCGATTCCACTTGCAGACACGTACGTTGTGGCCTGGAAGCGCGGCATTGCCATACTGACCGCCGGCTCTGTGAAGGTAACGCCCGATCCTCGCGTCCGCCTGGTGAACGGATTCAACCTGCAGATCCGTGATGCCCTGCCCACGGATGCCGGCGACTACATCTGCCAGATTGCCACCATGGATCCGCGCGAAATCACCCACACGGTCGAGATACTAGGTAAGTACTATAAAGACTACAGGATATACAATATATATGGACTACTCACGCAAATTTGTGAACGACTTTTCGGCACTTTTGCATTGTTATGCAAAGTTCCAATCTGCCGGATTGACGTTCCATGGGATTTTTATGGGCGAAATTTATGCGGCTGGCTCAAATCACTTGGGCCCCATTGTTAGGCCTCATCATACGGGCACGGGCATGGGCACCTCTCCTCCGGCTGAAAGGCTGTGTTGTGTGTTGGTCAAATTAACATATCCTTACGTCCTGAGTGCCTAGTGCTTAGTGCTTTATGCGTCCGGGCCACTCAAATATGCAAAGTAGGTTTGCCTGCAACTTGGCCGCTTTACGGCCAAAGATTCAATAGAGAGTGGAATTTTTGAAGCGGCGAAAAAATCAAAACTAATCTGCCATTTGCCCGGAATCGCTGCTCATCCCCCGAAATCCTCGGGCCCGGCTGCCTGCATCCCTATCCCCCGGAGAAGCCGGCTGGAGCGGATGCAAATTGCTGCTCCTTTGGCTCCGCTTTAGCTCTGTTCGACTATTTCCGGAAGCGGGGATGGTGAGGGAGACCCGGAGACCCGGAGATGGAGACCCGGAGAGGTCGCCTAACAAGCTCACGACTCCGGCCGGGCTTTGAGCTTTGTTTCTTTTCCCAGCTCCCTTTTCTTCGGCCGGGCTTCTAATCAGCAATGATGAATAATTTACATATATTTCCCCCCAATTACAATGTTGCCCTTTATTTGCATACGCCTCCTCTCTGTGTGTGCGTGTGTCTGCGTTTGAGGCACGCCTTTTAGCCAGGCCAACACTTGCCTTTAACTGTTCCACGAGTCCTGGCGATGCGAGTGTGTGTGCGGTGCATGCAAATTGCGATACAATTCCCCAAATCTCCCAAGTGCTCCGTCTCTATCTGTGCGCGATTGAAAAATAGTTTTATGGCCGAATTTAAGGCGCTTTAAACACAGATGTATGGATTTTCGCCCGAGCATTATTTCAAAGCAGAGGCCGGCCTATAAAAAATGCGTATTTATTTTAGCAGCCACAACTTTTTTCATTTGTCATTGAAACTTGGTCCTGGCCCTGGTCCCAGACCCCTGTCCTGGCCTGTGGTCCTGCTCCTGCTACCAGCTCCCTTTTCCAGCTCCTCTCTTTTTTTGGGCGTCGCCGCAGGCAAACATTAAACGAAAACCTCCTTGGGTGCGGGAAAACACAACCACGATGACGACAAAGAAAGACCCAGGGAGAGCGAGCGAGCGGGAAAAAAGTCGATTATTGAAAAGTTTTGTTTATTTTATGTGTTTATTATGCGCTCCGTTTGCCAAATAATGATCATGGCCAGAAATATTTCGTTTATTGAACTTCGCAGCGCACGTAAATTTCTCGCCCAGTTTTTGTTGTTCCCGCTGTTGTTGTCCCCCAATTCCCCATTATTGTCAAAGGAGAGAACAGGGAAAATAATGCGCTGTCGAAGTTTTTATAGGCTCAGCAGCAGACACGGTCGGACAGCAGCCCCGGCATCCCCCTGGCTCCGGTTCCCGAAAAATCAGAAATCCAAACCCAAACCGAATCCGGCCAGCACCCAACGTATTCGTATATAAATTTCATAAAGTTTGCCGCTCTCTGGCATCTCGGCTTGGCAGTTTTTACGAGCGTAAATTACTTTCAGTTTGGCTCACACTAAAGATGAAAAAATAATGTGCGCCACTGCCAAAGTTTTGCACTTGGCCGGCGCAGCACTTACAAAGACATTAGCCCGGCGATGGCCAAAAAATGGAGCAGTCTCCGTTGCCCCGGATTGCTGCGGATCTGCCCGTGGGCAAGGGCAAAACAATGGCACAAAAGTTTGCCCGTTGACAAATCTTTTAATACGGCCCGGGCATTAATATCTGCTCCCAGTGCCCTCTCTTCTTGCTCCCCCAATAATTGGAGGAATAGCCACGCGGACATGGGACAGGCAGCAGTGTCCCGGGACATCTGCCACTCACCTAGCTGGGGTCTAACCAGCGAGGCTTTAATATTTGATGAGTCCGCCAAGGTTGGTATCTGTGTTGGCCGAGCGCAAACTAGGGGAAGCTGGCAAAGGGACGGAATCTGTGTCAAGGACTTGAAAGCATTTTCGTCCATTTAACCCCGCGGAATACAGCTGCAGCGGGCATTATTCATATGACGTTTAATAAAACCAATTAGGCTTCGACATGCCCATCCACAATCCATCCATTAGCCGGTGGCAGGCTGTCGCCACTCGGTTTGGTTTCGGTTTGGGTTATGCTGTCAGTGGCGGTGTCGGTATCGGTGTGAGGCTGGGAGTGGGAGTGGGTGGGATTCTCCGCCCAAATCCAACCGCAAAACATTATGTTGTGCGGTCGGGCGTTGCGGCAATTTGCACATTTTTATCACGGCCATCGAACCGCTTTTTAAATTCCTTTTTCGCGCGTGACTTTAATGCGCTTCGCTCGGAAATCGGATTGCCTCTAGCTCAAATCGGTGTGCACGGCGCTTGCAATTAGCGGCGTAATTACAGGACCTGCCGACCGCAAAGGTCCAAGGAGAGGGCTCTACTTAAAGTATCGATAACAATGGCATCATCGAACCGGAAACCATAATTATTGCACCGACCGTGTGCGGTTTGGCATAGAGAATGAAGCTGGTGGCCGTGATTTATATGCACAATATGCCAAAACAACTGGACACGGCCACGGGCGGAAGGAGTGGAGCGGAAAAGCCCACATCGGCCGGAGACGGATGCGGAGACAGGTGTGTGGAGAAGGGCGGCATTTAATTATGGCTAGCACAATGGGCGGAACAACAATGTTTGTACAATAACAAAGGATGCTGGGCTGCTGCAAGAGGGCTGGGATAGCCGAGGTGTGTCATAATTATATGCCACAAGGACGATAAACAAATGCTGAGCACACACGAAGGAGCCAAGGAGCCGGAGCCGAGACAAATTACCAAGAGGACACTTGGCCAGAAGTGAGCCCACAATTAAATGCCCAGCTCTCGGCAGCCGCTTAAGTTTTGGCACCAACTTTATCGGCTGCAACAGAATATGGATTTAAATTACTTAACAGACATGCCCGAAGTTTCCCTATGCCGCCCACAATCCGGCGCACTTAAACTTTAAGCCAGCTCGCTGGCAGAGCAGCATGTGTGGGTGGGTCTGGTCCGGGTTTGCCTGCGAGTTTGAGTGTGCAACTTTGCGAGCCGCAAAACCAGGGCCAGAAGTTGAGGCACCACCACACCAGCAACCGGCAACCGGCAACCAGCCGTGGATGCCTCGAAATCAATATGAAACAAACTCTGTCAAAACTGGCCGCAACCACCACTCCTCGTCCTGATACTGCTTCTGGACCTACTCCTGCTGCTGCTCTTGATCCAGATACTGCGGCCACTGCGGCAAGTGCTTTGAAAGAGCTGCTTATTAAAATTTTTGCCAGCTGCCCGCAAGCCATTGAGCCAGCGAGGCACATAGTCAGTCTGGAAGCTTGAGACCCATTAAGTAGTCGTCATCTGCATGACATTACACGCCGCAATCCACGTATTACAAGCCGCACAGTCGAAATCAATTTCAGTGCCGGGTATTGAGTATTAAAAGAGCTTTGGCCCCCCCACGGCCCACAAGTCTCCCGCAATGGAGACATATTTATTGAATTCAATATGCGAGTATACAAAGCGTGAGAATATTGGGAATATTCCAAGCGCAAACACACACTTACGACCTCGGCAGCCAGCCCTGCCTGCCCTGCCCTGCCTTGCCTGCAACTTCATTGGCGAGTCCTTGCCGAGTCCTTTCGCTGCGCCTTTTGCCGGGCTCATGATTTATTACACTCTAATGCATATTTTGTGGCTGCAGGAGGACAGAACGCTCCACACTCCAAGAAAATACAAGGGACTATTGGGAAATATTATTTATTTCAAAAATAATAATAACGCGTACCAGAAAAGGGAATACTTTTTCGTATTATTTGTTAGCAAAAGTTGTAGACTTGCTGTCCGATTTTCCCTCTGTGCAGACATGACCTACGAGCTGTGAGCTGTTTGTGCTCCCTCCTCCTGCAGTGATCAATTGTAATTTTCTTTCGAATGCAAATATCCTTGGGAGGGCGAGAGATCCGAGCTGAGCAGCCATCCTGGCAGGGCTTATTTGTTTTGGCCAGAGCAATCGAATATATTATTTGATATATTGCAAATCGTATGTGTTTTGAAAGAATTGCATCAATAACACATGTTTGTGGGGCCACTCGCTTGGCTGGGTCTGTGATAATTTGATTGGGACCTAATCAGAGATGCAGCCCGTCCCGAACCCCTTTCTTTCATTTGGTTTTCCGTCTACAAAAGTGTCTCCGTGCGCCTTTTGGTTTATGGAGCTGTTGATACTGCCACTTAAATGTGGCTATTTCTTAGGGAAAAGAAAACAGCAGCACATGGCCCCAATTTATGGGCAAGCCAAATGAACGAATTCCCCGAGAGCTTAAACCAAACAAAAAGAGAGTAAAAAAAACCGAGACAAAAAATAAACTCAGCACAAAATCACAAACTCTGAGGGCCAACAACGGCCGCAAAAACAAAGACCGAAGACAGCCACTGGCCTGTTTGGCTGCCATTTTCAAGTTAAAAGAAAAACAAAGCAGAAAAAATATAATAATGCATAAGAAATGTCCATAAAATGGAATGAAGCCATCGACTGGAGCGGCAGCTGCCATTGTCCTTGATTTAGACGCCGCACAGCGGACATAATTTTTAACAGCTGTAAAATAATGCCGCCGCAAGTATAAATAAACGCCGGTCCCGAATTAAATCAAACTATGCCCCAGCGGGGCCAGAACGGGGAAATGGGGAATCAGGACTGGGGGGACTGGGGTGGAGATAGGGGTCGAAGTCGGGGTCCAAGTCCGAGTTGGAGACGCGTAAACGCCGCTTTCTCCCATTCAATTTGCATTCGGGGCGCATTTATTTATTCAAATTGTGTGATGTCCTTGCCGAGCCCACTTTGCATACATTTCGATGGCGGACTCGTGGACGGCGGGGGACACTGGGATACTGGACCCAGTTTGTTTGGCCATTTCTAATGTGTTTTTTCTCTCTTCTCTGTTTATTTGCCCGACAGTGCCACCGAGGATTCATCACATTAGCACCGGCGGACATTTGCAAGTCAAGAAGGGCTCGTCGGTGCGCATCGAGTGCTCGGCCACGGGTAATCCAATGCCGAATGTGACTTGGAGCCGCAAAAATAATATTTTGCCCAACGGTAAGATTGTGCATAAGTGCCGGGACCCGAGAGCCAGCAGTCCGACAAAAGGATGCCACCAAGCAGCCGCACAAAAAACCAAACAACCGAGTAGAGAGCGACCAAGGACCAAGCAACCAGAGGCCACGCAAATTAAAATCATAAAGAGCAACAAAGGACGGGCAATGGGAGGCGAGACGAGGCAAAAGTAAATGAATACAGTCGTAAAAGAAACTTTAAACAATTTCCATAAAAATGGAAAGTCAAAGAAATTATATGCCAGCCTCGGTTTCGTCCTTGCTCCTCCTTCTCTTTTTGTTATTAAATATAATGCCACACGCTGTGTGTGTGAGTTGCGTGGCGTTGTTTGGCGGTTACGGCTGACCGGTGACCCCGCGGTGTCCGGCCGGACATCACTGTCACTTGGCTGCACGTTGATTCCACGTAATTGGCCCTGTCATTCCTTGGGCTCCGGCTTCTGGTCTCTCCGAAATCCTCGACTCCCACTCTTGGTCCTGGCTTTTTTTATTGAGTTGCATTTTTCATTTGCTCCGTTCCAGGCGAGGAGAAGCTCCACTCGCACGTCCTCTCCATCGAGAATGTGGATCGGCACAAGGGCGGCGTCTACATATGCACGGCCAACAACCGAGTTGGTCAGCCCGCCTCCAGCCAGGTCGTGCTCCATGTCCTGTGTAAGTATGCCACTTGCACCCATATAAGTACACTGAAGAAATATTAAGGGAGGGATTCTTACAAAATTATTTATATAAAGTAGGTGCTCAAAGATAGGCTCTGAAATATATAAAAAAAATATTTAGAGCTGGTTTTTAAACATTTTAAAAAGTTTATTTAAGAATAATTATTTACTCAAACCACAAATTCTATATTTTTAATGTTAAAAATAGACAAATATTTCTTTAGTAGAAACATCTGTTATAATTTGTAAAACCCTTTACATTTTAAAATTTTATTTTGAAGTGTACTCCATACAATATAAGCGAAACGAATTAATTTTTTTCCGGGCCCTACTGTGCCACGGAGTTCGACTGTCAGTTCAATTTATGTCAAATCTGATTTCGATTTCGAACGGGTATTGACTTTTAACGCTCTCACTTGCAGTCGAGTAGATGATGATGGAGTCCTGGCCATGGCCAGCGAGGGGAGAAGGTATGTGGAGCCACATACATACTCCCCACCGCAGAGAAGAAAGGACTTTTATTACATTTACACACTTACCGACATTTATTGGTTGACTGGCAATTATTGAAATGCCTTGCGGGTACCACCGGCCATTCTGACATTTATTAAGAATTTATATGTAATTTTGAAGGGGAGTCGACGCCGGTCTTTGTCCTCCTCTCCGGAGGCGTCGCCATTACATGTGCTAATTACACGGCTCCCATCACTATTTACACTTTCTGGCCCCGATGGCTGGCGGGGCCGTTTGGCCATTGATTTTTCGCGTTCGCCAGCATTCATGTTATTAACTAATTTCTTAACGTTCTTTCCCCTGCACAGTTTCGCCGGAAATCTCTGTGGAGCGTCCCGTGGTCTTCTCCGGCGAAGGGCACGAGGCCACGCTGGTCTGCATCGTCCATGGCGAAACACAGCCCGAGGTATGTTTTAATTAAATTTCGTACATAAATTTTCATTATCGCGCTTGCTCACTCGGAAACACACGACGCCACACAGCGGCAGCCCAAACAGATACACAAATAGATGTCCATAGATATATCCTGGCGATAGATTTAGCCAGTTCTCCTGACCAACACCGACTCCGACTCCGACTCCATTGTTTCGTAGAAACCAGAAGCAGATGGCTGATGCCACAACGCATTAATTAAAAGTCTACAAAGGCAAATTGAAGTGCACTACAAAGTGCAGATGAGGGATAAGGGCTAAGGCGACGGGCATAATTTTAATCAAACATCGCTCACAATAGTCCTACCAAAAGAGGAAGACATCATGAAGACCCCAGCATGTCCTTTTTGTCCCGCTGCCATTGCAGTTTCGAATACGACTTTTTCTGTAGTAATTTCGACTTCACATTTAGCCGGCTTGCTCTCCTTCTCGGCTGGTGTTTATTTTTGTGCTATGCGCCTTTTGTCGACATTTAAATTAATACGCTCGGCTATAATTCAAAGTAAAATTGCGGAAGTTGCCAAAGCGGAAGTGAGAAGCGGCGAGCTACCGAGAAAAAAACGCAAGAGAAATGCCAAAGAACTGAAAGGAAAACCCAAAATGACATGGCGCACACACAGGCGAGAAAGGGAGAGCAAAAAAAATGGGGAGAGCAGGGCACTAGGGTGATCCTGTGTGAATTCAAATAATAATCACAAAACTATTCTAAACAAAACGTATTTATAGATTCAAACTGACTTTAAAGATAGTTAGTTCAGCTAGTAATATTAAAACTACCTTGTATTTAGATTATCTTGCAGAAAACAGTTACATTTAATAGATATTTTTAAATGAATAAATCTCAATGGTTGTCCTTTTTTATTAACAATTACAAGAATATTAATATAAAATTAAAATACATACAAGTACATTTCCTAGCATTTCACTGTAATGTAGTTCCCTTCAAAGTCCCACTCTAAGAGCCACAATTATTTAAAAGAACTCTGATACAGATCCACCCTAACGTGCTCAGAGGAAACCCAAATAATGACTTGCAACCGCAAATGTCAATGCTTAAAATTATACAGCTCCCGTTTCATTTCACTTTGTTTCGTTTCATTTTGGGCCAGCTTCGTGATAAGTCAGTGACTGCCCTGGCTCTGCCCCTGCCCCTGGCCCGGCCCCTGCTGCCTTCCCGGGTTCCCCGAATTCCGACAGGGCATTAAGTTTTTATGCTATTTAATTTTTAACATTTTTTGTGTGTTGTGCTGGCCCTCGTTTTGTGGCCGCAAAGAGTTGACTGCTTTCCAGCGAACGGCGTAACTATTTATTTGCAGCTAGCTGCAGCTTTTTATTTGCTCTGTCCGACACATTTCATTATAGTCGTTCCCCTTGTTCCGCCCACTCCTCTCTGTCCCGGCCATCTCCCCTCTTGGCCATCTCGGCATTAACGTCAACGCCTCCTGCTTTGCATTGTGCATGCCATCGCCAGCGCCATTGCTGTTTGACGGAGCGGTGGGCGGCGAGGCGTGGCATTTAGTAGTCTTTGGGAATGGCATTTCCGCATGCAATTTTTACATTTGCTTTTCTCTCTCCGTTTGCCGGCTGCAGTTCGTCATTTTCCCTTCATTCATTTAATTTTTTGTTTCAATTTCATTTGTATCCCTGTAGCTAAGTGTATACAATTTAACGCTTCCTTTTCGGTTTTATATTCTGGTTTTCCAACGAGCCTCAAAGTACTTGGGTCTGCACACATAAGTATTCAAGTGTGCCACAAGCGTGAGAGTTTTAGATTTTTATTTTTTGAAGGGAGAGTTTTCCCGCTCAAATTTTAATTAGAGAATTCATGCACATGTCAGGCAAAAGTCCAGTGCAAAAGTCCAGTAGTAACTTTACACATAACTGTGGTATTTTAATGCACACAGGCTGTAAATTCCTTTGAATGGAATTTCTGATCTGTCATTAGCTGTTTGCAAATGATGCGAAACAAAGGTGCAAGCGCTATCCAGCCCGCCAATAAGCTAATGAGTCCTGATGGGTTGTTGATGTTGGTGGCTATTGTCCTGCGACAGCGTGTAGTTTTAATTATGTCTTGTCAAGCCAACCGAACCCATTTTGATGCGTGAAAAACCACAAATCAGAGACCACGGGGGCCGCATATTAATTATTGAGAGAGAGCGCTGAAAGCCCCTCCAAACACACACACACTCGCAGACATCGCACTTATGTGCATATTTACATATTAATTACGCATTGCACCACAGGCCCAAGTCTGGCATATTCATAATCCATTGATATTGTCGATTTGATGCATAATGAATATCATAAACAAGCACTAAGCTGCGCCCATTCCCCTGCAAGGACACGAGGATAACAGGGCCAGAGTACACCGGGACGAAGGGATAGCAACAAAGTCATTAGAGCAATTGTCATTAACATGAGCGACGGCAATGAGACAACATCATTATCAACGTCATCGGGCGGCTGCGGCGGCGGCGGTGGCGGCATTGTCAACGATGTTGTCGCCGTCATCGATGTCGGACGCATTAAACATGCAGCAGCATTTGACAGAGCCATCAACGTCAGCAGCTAACAGCATTAATGGGCGTCCGCCTGGACAGCAACTGTTCCCTAATACGCCCACCCATCGCACACCCACTCACACACACACAGACGCAGTAAACACTCTACCCCCAAAGCCACCCATATCCCTCGCCTAACAACAAGGACCCTTGAACCGGACCGATGATGAGCTTTCATCGCTCGTCAGCTCGCCCAGTGATTGCAGCCATGCCGCTACTATGGCTTTTAATTATTTTGCAAATTAATTTCCAAATTGGTAATTTTCTTCACATTTACACACACTCAAACAACACACAGACACACACAGCGCACGTAATGAGTTTTTGTGTCGGGCGAAGGACTGCAAGTTGGCCTATTGGCCCGATCCGAAATGAGATGTTTAGATGGCGCAAAATTGCGACATAATTACAGGATTCGCCGGGATGGAAATTGCTTGCCGGCAACGACACGGAAACTGCTAGATATATCGCATACATATAAAGTGGGTATTTATCGGGAAGCTGGCCTAGGGATTAGGGTGGATTGTACTCTCAATCGAAGCTGAAAAAACATCAGGGAAATCCAAAGTGAAAGCATGCTACCTATTATCAGTTAATGTAGGATTAAAGCTTAGGGTTTCTTTAAGAGATAACCAAACCCTAAGATATATTAATTCACTTGTTAGGGCATAAATCTTAACGCATATTTTAATCATTAGTAAACGTACAAGCCGAAGTTATTATTATTTCAGCAAAGTTCTCAAGTATGTAATATAAAAAGCCCTTATCCAGTTTGCTTCCCTTTAACAAATAAAATCAAATTTCAAACTCACAATCAAATCGGCTCAAGTGTCCTTTAAAAGAGTCTGTGAAGTTTGAAGTGGTTGCCAGAGTATTGACTTAATAATTCTGCCACTCTAAACTGCTGTTAAACTGCCGTAATTAATTACGGCCAAGTTATTTATTGTCATTATCTAATATCTATTAGCATTTCCCTGGGCAGCAACTTTGGGGAGCAGCTGGCCAGAGTCCCGGCCAATTGGTCTAGGCAACAACTTAAGTCAAACTGTGGCCATTAACGGCGACACCAGCGCTCCACCAATACCACCGCGCCAGCAACTCGGCAACTCCGGTGCCACACGCAAGGCAACTCTCGTGTGTGTTCGTGCTAGCGTGCCAACGCTGCGTATGCGTAATTCCCACATGCCTCTTGCAATTATTTGTTGTTTCCCTTTTTCTTTGGCGCGTTTTCACTCCCAGCTGCCACACACAAACACCCATCTAACAACACTCTTCCTCTGGCAATTTCCGTTGTGCCAGCGAGCGAAGGTATTGCATAATAGATTGCCAGGCAGGACGAAGGGGATGGGCAGGAGCTGGAAGAAGGGCAGGCGAGGCCAGAGTTGGCTGCGGCACGCATACTCTTTTCTTCCTTTTGGCTGATTAGTGTTGATTGGTATTTCTCGCTTTGCTGCTCATCAATGCTAATTTTTCGCCGCTTCTCCATCTCATTGTGCTTTGTTTTGCTCCGGGAGCTTCAAAGTTTGCCAAGTTTCTTGTTCTTGTCCTGGTTCCGCCTCGCCACGATTCGATTCGTTTCCTTTCTCTTGTTCACGTGCCCGCCTGCAAAGAAAGCATTTGAAAATTAAGCGCAAGTGCAAAAGATTGATTGGCGCAACATTTGCGTGGATCTATTAATGAAGTGCACACAGACCGGCGGCCAATCAATCGCCCAGGTCCTGGATGTAGGATGCAGGCATGGCTCATAACAGCATGGCGGGCAAGCAATTAATTCGCTTAGCCATCTTCTGCCGACGGGCAAAAATATTAAATAAAATAATTTCTGTCCATTTTTCTGCCACGTCAACACTTACGCCTCGTTACGCACAGTTGAGTTGAGTTGCGCTGAGGCTGTGTCAGTGGCGCCAAAAAGATGATGATAGCCACTGCTGATCCAGAGGCCAGACTATAGCTTAAATTAGGGAAGGAGCGTTGAATCAGCGGCAGCTGGAGAGAACAAACGCCATGAAAAACGCAAACATCAACAGTTCGGACAAATAACGGCAGGGGAGCTGGGAAAAAAAGGGAACATTTATGGCAGGACGGCATAACTGTAACTGCACACGTACGGACACGGACACGGCCACGGCCAATGGGCGGATGTGTCTAAGCGTGTTTGTGTTTGTGAGTGGAAAATATGACAACACATATGCACTGCTGACAGCCATTTTAATGGAATGTGCGGCCAAAACACCGCCGCCGGCGTTAACTAATCTCACCCGGGGAGCAGCAAATAAATACTAGACTTGAAAATAGAAATAGAAACGCCATAGATAGCCAGGCTATGTATAGAATAACCCACAGTCCCATTCCCCCCCGCCTCTGGTCCGTAATTTTTTCATCTATTTGTTTTAATATCCCTGCGCCTTTGTGGGGACTGGAGATTGGATTTTGGTATGTGCGTCATGCCGTGGAGCACCTGCTGCCGCCATGTCCCCTCGGCCCCTATCCGCTGTTAATTCGTGCGTTCTGTCCTTGCTTATCTGGCGACTGCGGCCCGTATCCCAGCGTATCCCGGCTGTGTATCCCGCCGTATCCTGTCTGCGAACTGTCAGGGCGGCGACAGGCCGGCGCTGCAGCGACTCGCGTTCAATTCATTTACAAAACACGCACAGCCCGTCTGTCAGTCCTTGTAGTTCGCACACGAACCACGTGGCGTCGGGTCCTTTTGCGGGATATGTTTGCACAGGACTCGGATTCGGCAACGAATTCGGGCGTGGAAACGGACCCCGATTCCGATTCCGGCGCACTTGACACACAAAACATGTTGTCGAATGTTGGCTGAAAATATGTAACAAACAAATAGAGACAAACAATGCGGAATCGAAGATGAATTTCATGTGAGAGAGCAGCCATGTGGAAAATCTGATGGAAAATCAATACTCTTTGGCGGGCACGTCGATCTGGTTTTCAATTTCAACAGGAATTACGCTTAATTGACGCTCAAGTGACAGCCGCACGAATTGCAAGTGGAGGAGGAGGAGGAGTCGGTTGAGGAAGTCCAAGTGGAAGTACTCGCCGCAAATCGTCTTAACTTTTGCCCCATCTCATCCCACCCCTAGCCCAAGCTCAAACCCAATCACGCACACTCGCTCGCCAGCCGGCAACTCGTGCTCGCCTCGATTGACCAAGTTTTCAATTATTTACAGGTAATTTGGTTCAAAGACACCATGCAACTGGATACCACGGAGCGGCACATCATGGAGACGCGGGGATCCCGGCACACTCTGATTATACGCAAAGTGCATCCGCAGGACTTTGGCAACTACTCCTGCGTGGCCGAGAACCAGCTGGGCAAGGCACGCAAGACCCTCCAGTTGAGCGGAAAACCGAACGTTGCCGTTTTTAATTCGCCGCCAATCAGTCAGTACAAGGACAGGTAAGTGCAGCACGAATACGAACGAAAGTGGGCACTGCGATGGCCACTCCTTTTGAAGGCAGTGTGCCGACACGTGGCTAGTTAGACAACGAGACCTATCCGCCTAATTACCACAGCCAGAGCCATTCACTACTCGATGATTGAGCATAAAATGCAAAATCCGTGACAAGTGTGCGGCTTTACAAGCTGATTGGACATTGGACCTGGCACGAAGATGATGCACTGCACCCGCACTGGACAACTTTATTAGATTCATTCCGTTGACTGACATGGCAACCGACTGACGTTCGGACAGCCCTCCGGGTCGCAGAGCTTATACTACGTTACGTATGAAACTTTTAATTGGATTAGCTGTCATCAAACACACACGCACACACACCGTCTTTTAAGTGGGCAGACAAAGCGAGGTGGAACAGGGGGGCGAGACAGTCAGCCAAGCGACAAACAAGCTCACATCTCATGTCACACTCGTACAAAATGGGAGAACGACAGCTAGATAAATTTACACGGACTGGAAATGGAGTTGGCCGTGCCTCTGTCAATGCCATATCCACTTCCACCTTTCAATAATTGGACGCGAATTGAATCCAATAATCTGCAAACATTTTCTAACTGTGCTGTGAGAGAGCAGAGCGAAGCCATTATAATTTGGGCCAGAGCCATATTGCGCATACGCCCCGTTAGTGCGAGCATAAAGCAACTCTGCAAAAAGCAACTAAGCGAGCATCGGCCATGTCAACTTTTGCGCTGATTTCATTCCATTTCATTTGGTTTGATCCGCTGCCACTGCCGGAAACTGGTGCCGGCAATTAAGCTACCAAAAGGCCCCCCAGCAGCCCCGGGCACACAAAGTACCAAAAGCGATTCTGGCGCCAGTCGCCGGCTCTTCAATTGTTAATAATCATTTTTATTGCCTGCGTTAGTTTTATGCTATATGCGAAAACTTTTCTGATTGGCGTTTTATGTTTTTATTGTGACCAGGGCCAGGCCCGAGACTTCAAGTTATTAGTTCGCATGGCCCAATAATCATGTAGAATACATCGAGGGCAAAACAAATAACGGCAGCCGTGCCGACAAAACAGGAAGGCCGAAGGACCTCTGTTTACGGACTGGCAAGCTAGCAGTCTCCCAGGCTCCCAAGCTCCCAAACTCCCTCTTCATTCCGGTGCTGATTAGCATTCAAATTGTGTGCCGACTTTATCGCAAAGCAATGAACTTGCGCCTTTGTAATGGCGAATTGCGACATCCCTGGAACGAGGATGGGGCCACCTAATTAGTTGTTTACTCGAGCAGCTCCACTGGAGTGTGCCCATAAATAACTTTGTCCATCAGCAGCTCCGGCGACTAATGAGCTGCTCCAGCTTAAAGCTCAGTGTCCCCGGGGGAGATCGACAACCTTTAAGCCAGCGGGGCCAATGGCCAAAAATGCATTTAGCCCACCCTTCTCGACGACTGGCTAGCTCCCTAATCACGGCATGGCACAGTGCACCGGGCACAAGTCGGGGACCGGTCATATAACTTCATTTACACTTGAACTGAGAATGTGGCAGGACTGTTAGCTTCTCGGTTGAATGGACGCATTGTGCGAAGAGCTCCAGCTCCTGGTGTAGCTTCTGGAGGCGGCAAGCGGGGCAGCTGGGCAAACAAAGAGCCAATAACAAAGGAGCAAGCTGGTATTACGTTAAGACTGCAGCAGCAGAATCGCAGCTCGGCAACAATGCAGCTGGGAGTTGGCTCATACGCAGTATCTTAACCCGGCCATTGTCGCCAGCCAAGTTGCCATTGATTACGATGTTGTTGTCATTCTGGAAGCTGCCGGTTCTGCTCCCCTGTGCTGACAGGTCGAAAAAAGGGCAAATCGACCGAAAAATCACGGGAGAAAAGGCTGATAGTAATAAAGTTTAATCAATTAGCCACAAAATTCCATTCCACGAAATTAACTGTAAAGCCTTATTTGCTTGATAAATTATACTAAAGTTAAATTAAATAATAAAAACTATTTTTATACATTAAAACCACAAATATCATACCTGATTCATTTATAGTTTTTAACAAAATAAATTTTAAGAAATAATAAAGCTTTCATATTAATAAATAAAAGGGCAAAGTTATCACAGTATTAAAAATATATTATAAAGTAACTTTATTCCCCCCAGTCTAAATTGTTAATGTCCCATAAAAAAAGGTAACCATAACTTTAACTTTCGTAAAAAAAAAACAAATTTCAATCAGTTTCTCCAAAAAATCGACATATATGTCCGGGAAACGGACAAAGTGGATGCACTGACGCTCTTGCGTTGGCTTTAGTTACTCTTTCAGCTTTTGTTGCTGCTGACGTGACTGAAGCTTGCGTGTTTGCCTTAACTGCAGCAGCAGCAGCCCTCAATGGAGAATTTAACAATTACATATTGATTGGAAGCGCCTCGGAAGAAATCCCCCGCCAACTGTTGCACGCAAAAGCTGCCGATAACTACCACAGCCAACCCTCTAACCCGTCACTCTTCCCCATCCCCGTTTCAGATACAACATCTCCTGGGCCGTGGACTCGCACTCACCCATCGAGGAGTACAAGTTGTCCTTCCGCAAGCTACCGCAAGGACACGAGGTCGTTGGCAACGCCATCGACTCGCCCTCCTCCTCGCTGTCCTCGTCCTCCTCGCTCTCCTCCTCGCAGATGTACGGCTCCGGACTGCATTCGCATCGCTCTGGCACTGGCAGCAGCAGCATGGCCGGACTTGGAGTCGGTCTCGGTGGCAACTACGCTGGCTACGGCAACGTGATGCACTGGGGTCACAACGACTGGCGCAATGTCGTCCTGCCGGCCATTCCCCTATCGCACCACTACGCTCAGGGCATGAGCTATATGGTGCGCGGCCTGGATCCTGACCAGCACTACGAGGCCACCGTGCAGTCCAGGTGGGTGAATTCTAAAAACAAAAAAGCATTTGCAGTTACAGGCAATAAAGGCAATTGTCTGTGCCAGGATTAAAGCGAAATAAGGAGCACAGTGGTCTAAAAAGTTATATTTTTATGTAATTTTAGTAAAGAGAAAAAAAACAAAATTGCATTGTAAAAGAAATGTTGTACTTTAATAGATTTTTATTAATATATATTTTCTTATTTTCTTATTTCAACTCCACTGTTCGCGGTGGCCTGCTAATTTGGCCACTAGAGGTATTTTGTATGGCCGCAGAACAGTGGAGCTGTCAGCGCCGGTGCATTCGGCTCGGCTTATTAGCATATTAATACTGGCTAATGTTCCCGAGCTGCATTATTAATACGGAGAATGCTTATCAATTGCAGGAATCGTTACGGATGGAGCGATTTGACCAACAGTTTTGTCTTCTCCACATCGTCGAATGGTAAGAGCTAGCTTGACTATCCTTTGTGTTACTCTTTCAATAGATAAATAAGGAAAATTATTTTTTAAAGATACATACTGTATCTGACTTAATATCTAAGTATTTTAAAGTATTAATACCTCGGCTAGTCGAGTTTCAACTGAATTCTTATCGGTTTTTATACCTTCTGTTGCCGGCCGCATGCATTATTATTTCGAATTATTCGCCGTTTTTGCAGATAATCTGCAAAAATCACAGCGAAACTGAAGCTTCGCAAACAAACAGAAAAAAAAAATGGAAATCGCTTTGTATCGCGGGAAAATATGTTCTGGCTGTCATAACTTAATGCTGTTAAATTTATTACTGACGAGGGCCCAGTGAAGCGTAAAGTGAACACGTCGTAGTCTCTCGTTTGTATTCGTTGCAACAGCTTTAGCCATAATATCGCACTCACACTTGCACTCCATCTGGCACAGGCACAGCATGTCAGTTAAATCACACATTTTTTTGTGCACTCTCAGGTGAAAAGCGAGTTTTATTGCAGCCTTTGGACTTTAATGAGATCCCTTTCAGATCAATTGAAGCATACCTAATTGGGAATATTAATAAAGCTGTCTGCCAAATGGCGCTTCCTAGCCTGACACTATTATTTTTCAGTTCACCCAAGTGTGTTCATCAAGTATACGCCGCGTTGTCAGCAAATTTAAGGGAACGAGGATGTGCATAACTAATTGATGGCAAGTTCGGGCCACACTTTTGACTCTGCATAATGAGAATCGAAAGCCAAATGGGAGCACAAGACCCTCGCTAATTGGATGCTGGTGGAGATCCTGCCCCTTTAAGACATAAACAAAGATGCGGGCCCAGCCAGCCAGGTGGTTTGGGTAGACCGTTGAACCTCTAAATGCGCACTCGAAATCCATTTATATGCAAAACTATTGTTGCATTGCATACGGAATTTCTGCGGCGGGAAAGCGGCGAAAACGGGTGCGCCAGAAAAGCGATTTTCCATGCAAATGACGCACATTTGTCGGCGCCGGCACTGGCTCCAGAGCCAGAGCCAGAGTCAGGACCACAACCAGAACCAGAACCTGCGTCTTGCCATCTTTTGGCTGCCATGCGAAATGCATGCAAATGCAAATAGTGCACAGTTCAATGCCGCTGTTGAGGCTGTTGCAGTTACGCTGATGGGTCTGCTGCCACGTTGCCTGGCAAACAAACGCATAAATATGCAGTCGCAACAGCAAGGGAAGCAACAACAAGAACAATAACAAAAGCCAAAAGAAAGATGCAATAAACACGCACATGGACGAGTGAGATACTTGCACAGAATCGTCCTGCGAGGCGGCGGAAATTTAATAAAGCAAAACGTGAATGCCGCACAGAGAATGGCGAATTCAGGGCGCAGTATGGGCCAGGAAGGCGGGAAGGTATCAATGTCGCCTGGCAAGACGTGTTGCTTTTGACGGGCTGAACTGCGACACGTATACCCGTATCCGTAAGATGCTTCGCACAAAGCTCTTTCAGTGAACTTCATTACTCGCGCCATTGAAATGCGCAGTTCCGACGGTTCGCTTTCAAAGCGCTACTTCGTTGGCGGCAATTTATGGCTGCGTTTTGTGCTAATGGAAATGACTTCATTATATTTTCCAAACACAAACAATTTACGCAATTAGTAGCCGAGCATGCGATGCAATAAGAACCGCAGCGCCAATACCACCAACAACAAGGTGCAATCCAGCAAAGCGGCAACTAATGAGCCTCGAGTGTCATAACTACAACTGCAGTCCTCGCACAATAACAGTAACGGTAATGCCAAAGGACGACAATCGTCCCAACAGATACCGTTATTACCCACACATACACACACAACAGGGACACCAGAGGCAGAAGAGGAGTAGCGCCAGTTCATTTACCCGGGCTACGTGTCCTCGGGTCCAGGACTTTAGCCAACATTCGTGGCTTTGGCCTGGCCACTGAGAAAGAGGAAAATGACAAGAGGGGGGAGCGGCAGGACCTTCGAGCATTTAAGATCCCAACAGCCACAATATAACAGGCTTCCAGAGGTAGACACATTCGTGCTGGAAATGACGTTTGCGAAAACACTGCACTCCTACAGCTTCCACTGAATCTAGAATTCAACAAGTTAAGAGAGTATTCCTGAAGAAACAAGCTCTTAATATACAGAATACACAAAATAATTTTGTGTAAAATCATTTGGATTCCTATTTAAAAATACAATATCACTTAGCTTTCATAATTTAAACAATTAATTAGCATGTATACAACGCAGAAGTTCTACATATTTCAACCTGGCAGTGTGGGTCAGGCTAAGGACACCCTAAGGGCATATGAACTTCGATTTTCCCTCGTCATATTATCCACATTCTGAATGGCCTCTAAGTGCATTTAATTTTTACGAGTCCTCGTCTTCCGACGAGTCCCTTTGTGCCGCTGATGTTATCCTGGCTGTCATTGTTTTTGTTACCACTGTCATAGCCGTTGTCTAGATGCGTTAGGAGGAGGAGGAGGAGGAGTAAGAGGAGGAGGAGTAGGAGGAGGAGGGGGTTGAATAGACTCCGGTAGATGCCAGGTATGCAGCTATTTACATCATGGAGCTCAGTTATAGTAACGACGGTAAGGCACGCGGATCCCGGCCTGGGGTCACAGGGCCGGGGCACATAGAGACATAAAAAATAATGCATTTTGTGCACGCGAAAAAATACTCGACATAAAGCAAAAAAAGAAGTTAAATAAAATTACAACATAAAGTGCGGCAACGAGTGTTCGCTCTGTTTGTATTTGTGTGGTTGTGTTGTGTGTAGGAAGAAATATCAGAAAATGAAAGACTCGTTGAAAGTTGCGTAAAACTTGCTGAAACTGCCAACTGAGGAGCTCTGCAATAACAGCAACTACTGCCACACTAACAGCAATAGCAACACCAGCAGCAGCGGCAGCAGCAACAAGGCGAGGCATTCAAACGATGACAAAGTGGACCCTCACTGCATGTCCCTTAGACTGCGTCGCCGCTGCTGGCAGCGAGCGTCTGCTAGAAACTTTCAATTTACTCGTCCTAGTCGACGGCCATCGTATCGTATCCTCGGATCCAGCTCCTCCAGAGTCCCTCAGCCCCTTGGCCGCCGTCCCTGTGCGTTTGAAGCTTTTGTGTTGCCGGCGGGAATACTTTAGCCAGCAACTCCAACAACTGCAGCAGCGTCATCGCTTTTTTCGCCTTCATTTTTTGTTTGCCGGCATGTAAGCTGCAAAGTTTGCCAAGGCATACGTACGTACGTAAAAGAACGGCGAAAAAAATGAAGGGGAAATGAGCCAAGAGACGGCAGGAGACGCCAGGAGACGGACCGGAGAGGCAGAAGTAGAAGTTTTGTAGTGGCAGCATAACAAGCACTGGCAAAAATAGCACCGCGCTCAGTTGCAAGATGTGTAATGCGAATTCTCCACGTGAATGTTATGTTTATGTAAAGTGCAGGTCCCACAATGCCATCCCAACACCAAGGAGCAAGGATCCTCCAGCAGACAGAGGAGACACTGTTTGCCGTAGTTTCTTGCCGCAAGTGCTGAGTGCTCGCCGGCACAAAGGAATGCGAAACTGCATTATATGTCAGCAACAGCGAAGCTAAGCCGGGGCTTTAATCAGAGCTTTAAGGGTCGGATGCCCCGAGCCCACTTGACCAGCGAACAAGAAAAAAAACAAAAACAACAACCAGATATACATAATGGAGGGCCAAATCCGTGCGGTCAGCAACGGACATTTTGCGACTGACGAGGGAGCAGCGAGTGCGTGTGGAGCGCTGTTGAAATGTTGCTGCTGCTGGCAAAAAACTTCAAAATCCGCGGTGAGTCAGCCGCAGCTCTTCGCGAATCTCTAATAAACTGTCGGCCTGGGCACCGGTCCCCGGGGCCAATGCCAATCCTAGTCCCGTCATGCCAACTGTGCGAAAAATCGGATTTGCCTGCTGTACTTACGGACACCAGCAACAACACACGCGGAATCAGCCGCATCAACAGCACTACACTGAGACAAAATTGTAGCAATTTCAATGGATTCAATTTAAAAACGAAAATTAAGGAAACAAGAAAGGAAAGCCGCAGTTTGTATACCCAGACGCCGCTTTGAAACTCGAGCATAACTAACCCAAAAATACATTAATTTTAATCCCTGAAACTTGAAGCATATTATTTAAAAAGTCGGAAAAGACTCCTTTACAGTATCCTGGAAGGGTATACAAATTAATAAAATATATATTATTGTTAACCCAAAGTAGCATTTCATTCACTTGAACAAACGAAAATGTAACTATGAAACTTTGGATATTTTTATTAATTTGTTAAAAATAGGTAGTACGGTTTTTTATAGTGTAACAGCACCTGCAACAAATCCATGCCGATTGCATTTGGCCATTTGTATTTGTTGCCGCACCGCAATGCTATTACGTGAAGAGTGCGCGCGGAGGAAGAGCTAGATCCGGACAGGTGCCGAAAGCCGGACTCGCGTAGCCTCGAATAGTCGGTGCCTGGACCATGGCCACGCCACTGCGGCGACATCGATGGCGGCGGGAACGCTTATTTAGCTGCACAAACGAGAAATCACAAGTGACGTTACGGGTTTGTGCCGCCAACCGCAAGCAATAAAAGTCGCAACGACAGCCGATGCAAGTGCAGCATTCGAGGGTGAGGCGGCAGCGGGGGCTCAGAAGCGGACCACATTAGCCGGACAGCCACATGGTCACGAGTCCAGCTCCGTACTGCATCCTGCATCTTCTGCAGCAGCACGGGTCCGTGGTCGCGTCTGTTTTCATTACAAAATTGCCAGCGTTTGCCGGCACCGCAATTGACAATTTGCTTTTATTTTATGTTGACAGTTGGGGAATTTATATGGTAATGCCCTCCGTGTGAGTGGGTGTGAGTTTGTGTGCGTTGCATTTGATCGCCGCCCGCCGGCCATTTTTCTTAGTCGCTTAACCGGCGTAGACTAAATGGCCAAATGAATGGCCCAAGGCTGGAATGTTTGCGTTTAGGAACACAATAAAATCTGATTCGGACTCAGGCAGGCCTTAATCAAACAGATTGCGAAATAAATATACCCTTGCAACAGTTGGGGAAATCATTTCCAGGGGCAGATTTTCAATTCAGGTCAAGTAACTAATTATGTAATTGAAGTTGCCTGTGGAAATTCAATTATTTTGTCTGCAAATTTATTCTCTCATTATTATAATTCTATATTTTGTTATTTATCTTTGGGAGATCTTGTGGGTAAAACGGGAAACCTGTTGATGGAAGCTTGTTGTAAACAAAGATATAACTTACTAATAGCTTAACCTCCAATTAAATTATTATTATTAAGCTAAGGCTATATGTATAATAACCGAAGGCTAAACATTGTTTCAAAAGGAAAACCAAAGATAAGAAACATTTTAATTATTTCACATCTATTGCACATTTATAATATTTAAAGTAATATATAATTTTTAAATAATAGTAGAATTCTTTTTTTATGTTTTCAGACAAGTTCTAGGCAAATGAATAAAATTTCTTTAAAATTTTCTTGAACTTATATTTTATTGAAACTTGTTCTTTAAAAACGAATAATAAGCCTCTGTGTACAGCTTGCTTTTGGCCAATATTCGAGTGTGTATTTGAAAATTAAAGGTGTCATATTCCGAGGCGTTGGCAGCCCAGATGCCTCGATAGATAAGCTGTCCCGGTTGCTGGGCAAACATGTGTGCAACATGCAACCTACATTGATATCACGTCCGGCATGCGGCGCTATCCTCTCGGCACTCGATGTTGCCTGTCCATTCAGAGTGTCAGCAATCGCTGGGGGGCGGGGAAATGGAGGCTGCAGTCCTTTGCGAGATCTGTGCGCCTTAGATATGGCAGCTAACTGGCTGGCAGGCTGGCAGGCCATCACATATTTATAAGTTTTGCTCGCAGCGCCCGCAACTTCTGACAGGCATCGCATCGCATCGATAAAGAAGTCGATGTCCCTGGCAGCCAGGATGTTTCATTAATGTCGATGGGCGGCAATGATATATGCAGCAGCTTATCGGGGTGGAGGGGCGGTCGGGTGTCGCCTTCATTTACGGGAGTTTACAGAGTCAGCTTCGCTTTTGAGTCGCGCTCCGCTGGCCAAATGCTCATTTGTCATTATTGACAGATGCAGTACGTTGCCGTTTTAATTGGCGGCCTTAACGAAATGAGCTGCCTGCCGAGGAATGACCTCGTTGCTGAATCTCCGCCTCCCCGCCCACTTGATTGGCCATCTGCATCTGCATCCGCATTCACAGTCGCAGTCGGAGTCGTCTGCGCAAAAGTAAATCCCTCTGATTGCAGATTGCACTTTAAGCGTTAATGATTTATTTGCCCGCATGGATTTGATTTAAATGTCGGGACCGGATGGCGGACATTTTACTTAATAGTAGCTGCACCATAAGCCTTAAGCCTTAAGCCCTATCGATAGCACCCCCCTACTCTCGACTATCCTAACATTCAACGACTGCTCCACGTACTAATTGCAGATGGGCCTGTCGATCTGTCAACCTATTTGAATCACGGTCTGTCAGGTTAGTCTCGCTCTCACTCTTCCCTTCTCTATCTCACTCTTTTATCCTGTACATCTCTATCTCTCTCGCTCTTTCTCTCTCACACTCTCTCTCTTTCTCTATCTCTCTGTCTCTGTATCTATCTGTATCTCTACCTTTGTATCTCTTTGCATGTTTTCATCCGCATGATATTTATTTTATAATACTCCTGTATACACTGCGCCATATTTGCGCTGAGCTGAAGCCTGAAAAAATACCAAAGAACTGAAAAAGAAATATTAAAAAATTAAAATTGGGTATTCCGTGAATATATACATATGTTATATATGCGTTTGTTCGGACAGTTTACCAACTATTTGGCGTGCCATTTCAGTGCTCGATCAACAACAGAGCCCAAAACTAAAACCAAATACGAAGCGATATATGGAAAACAAGTTTTAATGTCCGTTTAGATGGCAGGTGTGCGGGTGCGCGGGCATAGAGGTGTTTTACTGCGGAGGTGTGCATGTTGTGTCCCTTTGAAAAAAAGGGGAATTTTGTCCATTTCGAATCTGTTGACTTGCATGCCCAACCAATTTGTTTTATGGCCACGGCTCGATGGATATTGAAACGCATACATTGCGCCGAATTTCTATGTACCCATTTATTTGATCGGAGGCGTGCAAGAGCGGTTTAATAAAAGCTGTTTCCATCTATCTTAATTGCAGATAACGAGATGCGGGACCTGAGCGTCACCTTCTACGGCAGCAGTGCCATCAACCGGCAGAAACTGGGCCTCCTGGCCTTGAGTTCGGCCACCCTGGCCCTGAGTCTGCTCGTGGCCTAATCACCTTCTTCAATCTGAGCTAAGAATTTCTCCGCCAATAGCACTTCGACTTCAACTTCGAATTGGGGACGCAATGAAACGCCGACCGACGTCTACTCACAACTCTAGTCTAGTCGTAACTGGTAGAATAAGGGAGATTATATATATATATATTATGCATAAGCGTAATTAAAAGCATTCGCGCTACGATTTCTCATTGTTCGATTCGAATTTCTCAAGCAAAGAAAACCCATTTCGAGTTTAGTGAATTAACCACACAACGGAAAACGGAACCATACATTACACATGTAACAATCAATGTAAAAGAGCATGCAACTGTTCAAACTAGGACCCCTAAAGCATACTGCCATACTGCATAACCCCGATCCTCTTATCCTTCTCCGCACATTCGCCGACCATTACAGGCACCCAGACCCGTGTACATAGATTTTATTGCATACTTTTAGGAATAAACTGCACCAAAGAAATAGTCACTCGACGAGCGAAAGAAACCACACACAAAAATTAACGAATAAATAGCAAGTACTCGAAGATAGTCGAAGCTGGAGTGTGGCCACAGCCACCACGATGCAGGGGGGAGTAATTTGTAGCGTTATGCAGATAGTTAATTTAATTAATACATAAATGCATTAACTAATTATCGGATACGAGCCAATGCCGCAGCACATTGCCCACGCAACGCAGCTTAGCCGAAATTCATGTGAACAAATGGAGGAACTTAAACTAATTTGCAGCATTCGAGGCGTCACGCATTTGCATTTCCGATGGCTTAAAGCAGACGGCGTTTTTCTAGCTTTTTGCAATTTGTATGTATGTAGCAGCTAAGTAGCTTAATTGACCGCATAAATGCAATTAAATTAGTCGACAAACCTATTGATTTGGTATGTAAATTAATCCACTGCAAGCGGAGCCACAGCCACACAAAAAGGCAGAGCATATAGAAACTTCCATATGGATTTCGGATTACAATTAGAGCGTAAGTGTAAATAAATACGATTGACGTGATGGTGGGATTGAGGAGGAAAGCGAGTCGCAGCAGTAATAAATATATAGGAAATATGAATACCCCAATAGGCAAGCCCGAGATGGGGCGGTTTACTCTCGTACACCGAACACAGGGTGCGGCCAAGGTTGTTTTATGTAAATATATATTGCACCGCAGTCTCGAATCTCATGATAGATATGATAGGTACTTACAGTTCGATACTCGTATTGTTGCTTCACAACGCAAAACGGCACCCTTCGCATTTGGTTCTCTCCAGCACCCTGTATTATCCTTTTTAGCATTCCGAAAACGAAACCAAAACCAAAACTGACACCGAATGCCAAGCCAGTGCACTTTCGATGCATTCACACACAAGTATGAGCTAGACGTAAGTAAATATTGTATTGAGATTAACGACGACGTATATGTGTATAGGAAAATATCGTAATTGATTTCCCAATTAACTCAGCCATATACAAGATACACATTCAGCTTTTATAGAACCTAATAAATCGGTCGGGGGAGTTGGACCGCAGAATAACAAAGAAGTATATGTGTAATTAATACGATTGGCCGCAAGAGCGTTAAGTGAATTACCGTAAACTTATAATTTACGTTCGTGTGTATGTATATTGATGTGTAACACTTACAAGCGAAACAATTATTATAACATAAACGGCAGACAATGCCCCAGATCCGGTGCCCCGCCCTCTTCCCAACTCCAAAACCCAAACGATTCCCCACGAGTCCCACTCAAAGTTGCTTTGGTCCGGCGACTGGAGCCCATCGATAAGTTAGCTAAATGATGATATCGGTACTCAGTATATATACACCTGAATATATAGAGATGGAGCGAGCCGTTACTCGTATGTGTAATTTACAGCTTAGTTCTAGTTTATAGTTTATAGTTTATAGTTTATAGTTATCCTATTTTGTTAGTGCAACAAATACCAAGACACGAGCCGTGCGTGTACAATTCTACTTTAAAGTAATAATAATACTAACCTACAGCAAACATCTTCGGTATTGAATGTATATGTGACTAGAAACGTATGTGTATGTATATTTGATTATTTTGTAAAATTTTTCAAAAACTATAAATAAAGTCTATATTACCATATAAATGTAAACCAGAGGCATCAACCTTTTCTGTGTTCTATTTTCTCATAATTTATGCATCCCCTTCAGCCAGTATTTTTCCACTCACGATCCTATCCCACGTCAATGACGCTCATCAGACCCTCTTGGAGACTCCTCCGGAGACATTGGCCCGCCCGTCTGCAGCACAAACATAACATAACATAGGTGGAGATGCATCTGCAGATGGTGGCGCGACTTGGGCACTGTATCCATTCAGCAGTCGAGTGCTCGGAGGAGCTCGGAGCTCGGAGTTGCGTAAATGCAAACTTGGTTTATTTTATTTACTCCATCCAGTTGTCATAGCCCAATGCAGGCGGCTCACCTTTTGTGTGTTGCCCCGTGATGGCTGTGTAGACATTTAAGTGAGCCGGCAGAGTTGACGACCCATCATCTCCCCATCCCCCCGTTCACATCCACTTCCATATGCCCATCTGCCATCCGGCGCCGCACATGATGGAATGGAAATGAAAATGGAAAAGTTTTCAGGCTGCCAGAGATTGGAGTAGCTTGGCTCCGACTGCGACGGCGACTGGTTACACACAAGCTCTGCTGGCTCGGGGAAAAACTTTAAATGGGAAATTTGACAGACAGACATAACGGTATTTTAAATGCGATCCGAATCACATGTGCGTCCCGGAATCCTGCGTCCCTGCACCATTGTGTGGCCATCAGCAGCTCAGCTCAGCCAGGCGATATGTTATGTGTTTGCCGGGCAGGAAACTCCTCCTGTTTACCTATTCCGAATCTATTCCATCCAGCAGGATATGGGAAACTTGGCTGATGGGTGGCAGGCGTCAAATTGAAAAGTTCACCTGGCTAATGAAATAACCGGTAGGCATTAAAGAACGTGTAGCGCTGCATTTGTTAAATAACCTTAAAAATAATATATATAATTTCCCCAAAAGCGGAATAAAGTGAACAAATTCCGAGAGTTCAGCCGGGAAAATTGCAAGGTGCAAATGGCATGAAATTACCGCAAAAAACTGGCGACCCAAAATGCCTTTCGCCGCCGTTGCGCCGTGCCAGCCCAGAAACGAAAGCGAATGTGGCCAGGGGAAGTGCGGGGCCAAAAACAAAACCCAAACAAGGCCCGAATCTTGCACACGTACGTACAGAATGTGCCCATGTGGTGCTGTGCGTGTGTGCACCTCATTTCCGGGCATTGTTTTCGTCCCGAACACGAGTGTGTGCCTGCCTGCCTGACTGCCTTTCGGCCTGGTGGGGCCATCTCTGTGCCAGGACCTGGATTTGGCACACACAAAAAAATTTTTGGATGCTTTAAAGAAAACTCAAATAGTTTGAGAAGCTTGTGCCAAAGTATTAGAAAACAGCAGGTAATTTTGTGCTAGAGTTTTATGAAGATTACTTAGTGTAGCTCACTTATGGGTATACTTTTCTTTCAGTGCCTTGGTTCTGCTGCAACTTCTGGTTCTGGGTGCTGTTCTCAATGCCATTCTCGTTGCCGTAGTCTTGCCCGTTCTACTTCCTGTTGTCGTTTGGCTGCTGTTTTCACGTTATGAGCTACTTGTTGTCCCGGTACCTCTGTCTTTGCCCCCTCCCCAGGCCAGCCACCGCACTCACACAGAGACACAGGCGGATCCATAGGCCTGCGTGTGTGTGACATGTTTACATAAAGTCCTTTACCGCTTCTAATGCATTATGGCAACAACACGAACGCCACTCGACGCTGCTTGTATTTATCGTATGTGCTTGCCCCGAGCCTCTGCCAGGCTAGTTGAATGCGACAAGCGGCAACAGCAGAGGCAGCACCAGCACCAGCACCAGCACAGGTGGAAATTTCACAGATACAGACACGGCAAGAGACCAACAAAGACACAAACACACACTCACACTGCCGCATAAATATTTGCATACGATATTTATTATGCTAAAAATAAGCCAAGATTTAAAAAGCGACGACGTCGCAGCCAGGGAAATAAGGCCAACTTGGCTAAGAGGGAGAAACAGGCGCATAATGAAGGCGAGCCGGGAAAAAAACAAATGTCATGACGACTCTCACTCTGGCAGCCTTCACACCTGCCTTTCGCCTTTGCATTTTCGCAATCCGCTATTCGCCATTCGCTATTCCCCTTTGTGGCACCGGAAGTGGGTCACGTATGCACCTTAGTCTCCCGGCCAAGACAAAGCGAAGCTGCCTGTAATTAAGCCCGTTTCCAAATGGGCTCTGCAAGTGCCTGCGCCGGATGCGAGGCTAAGGAACGGGAGAGGGTTCTCGGGCCACCTGGCAAATTAACTTAAATTTTAAAAGCTTAATTCGCTTGCCAGAGCCGGCTGCCTGGTAAGCGTCGCCTAAGTCGCCTGTAATGCATTTGCATGCTTTTAGCCACCTCGCATCCGAACGAAATGAAAAGAAAAGGAGCAGATGAAGGGAGGCTCCTCGAAGGGAAAACAAAGGCTCAGGATGAAATGTGCCAGGCTGGTAAATCCATTTTGCCGACAAGAGCCGCCCACTGGATGCCTGACTAGCTAGCTGCCAGACTGGCATTCTGGCTGTGCGTGTAACAAGTGCCCCTCAAAAGGCCGGCTGGAAACAATGAAGGCGAAAAGCGAAAAGCAAAAAGCACTTAATAGGGTGCCACGACGTCGTTGACATGGCCATTTATATGCCGCAACTTGGCAACGTTTTTAATTCATAATGCACGACAGAATGGTGGTGGCGCTGACATCGGTGCTGTGACGTGGCCCCTGGCCGGGAACAGGAACAGGATGTTGACTGCCGCCGGCAAACTTTGCGACACTCGCCTCTAATCCGAGCAGGATGCTGTCCGCCGGCTGAGTGTTGGCTGTCACCGCGGTCTCATCTCATCTCTCCAGCACTGTCAGGGCACTGGTTGAATAGCTGAAATTGATTCCATTTTCATATCAACTCCAGATCAATATCTGTTAATCATGCCGCCAGCGCCTCGTCAGCTCAACCTGGATTCGAAATTCGAGTATAAATATTAAGCAAATACCCGCTAGGAGCCGGCATAGCAACCTGCCATAGCCTGACAGCGATGCCGAGTTCGATATGAATCCGAACTCAATTAATAAACTTGACTGGACAGCCAAATAGAGACTTGTTTAGCATTCAATTTCAGGAAATTTCAACGCAGTAAGCCTTCTATTCAGAGCACCTGAAAAGGGCTCCGTAATGAGAGGATCTAAATAAGCCGAGCCTGAATGGTCAGCCTGCCCACTTTGTTAGTTACCATTTTATTCTAAACATTATTCTTGTTGCTGGAAGATTTCTTGTGCCAAGTCTATGCGCCTTTGTTTGCTCTTTAAATTGGGACATCGGTACGTATACGTAATATCATTTATAAATAGCCTAACAACAGGCCCCATAAGTATTGATGTGCAGCTAATGCGACCCCAGAGGATGACTGGCCAGTAGTAGCAACAGTGGCACTATTGGAGCACCAGGAGCAGCGGCAGGAGCGCTAACGAGCTGTGCCTTGGCTGCAATTGTTGCCAGAGCTGAATGCCAAAGCAAATAGCAGCTGAGGGGCAACTGAAACTAAAGTCAAATGCAGCAAAAAGAATTGTAAAAAACGAGGCAGCAGCGGCAGCATGGTCCGTACAACAAATGGCAAGTTTTGTCGGCGCCAGGGACATCGAAAGGGGCGAAACGGAGGCGTGGGCGGCAGCAACCAAATCAGAAAATCCGATTTGCATGGATTTGTTGGTTTCTTTTGTTGCCGTAGAGTATCCTTGCCACTGACGCCAATGCTATGTTGCCGCTAGTATGCTGCACAGAAATGTTGCTGTTGACTTTGTTATTTTTTCTTAATGTCTGCTCAATGAAAAAACGGCTCTGCCAGCGAACCTCCGCTGCTTCCGTCCCCATCCCTGGCCACTCCTCCACCGCCGCTGGCATCGCCTTCGGTGCCCGCTGAATTTTGTTTGTTTGTTTGTTTGTTTCTGCTAAATTGTGTTTTCCCTGTTCATTCATTCGTTTGGCTTTCCCATCCGTTTTCTGCTTCTGCTTTCTGCTGTTCCAGAATTTTTCAGTGATTTTACATGTAAGCATCCTTGTGAGCTCTGTGGCATGTCCACAATTGAGGCAACCGCTGGCTAGGACAAGCTGGCCCTCACCTCATCTTGGATACCCTGTTGCCGCCACCTCCTATCGTCCCCTCATCGCCATTGTCCACCTCGAAGTCCTGTCCGATTTTATATGTTTACCCCGCTTACAATTTGGTCCGCTGTTTCTCCCTTTTATGCAACCAGAACTCGACGATAAAGACATTTTGCTGTATATAGTCTACCAGAAAATCAAAGAGTCCACATGGAGACCCTACCGTCTTTTGTGAGCTTCTGTAAGATAAGCTTAAGCCTTAGTGAAAAATATTTATCGATTTTTGACACCTGTTTTTAATACTCAATAAACTGATGACAAGTCTAAAATTATGGAATATATTAATATTAATGGGTAATGTTCAGTCCATTCCAGACTATTAGCTACATTTTTTTCTACACTATTCTAAGGGCAATTCCCGTGGAGTAAGCGTCAACGAAGTTGTCGTTTTGGACTGCTACATCCACCAATGGCCGGGGGAGTCAAACTCGGAGTGCCCACCTTCAGATCCATGTACTCCTTCCGTTTCTCTTTCTCCAGTTGCCAATAGTTCGATTCTATTGCACTCTGTTGCTCATAGGGACTGCTTGTACGAGTATGTGTGGGGTGTCCTACAAGGATTTCCCATGTACAATAACGTAATCTACATAATTTTCTTTCAGTTTGGTTTCTCTCATGTCTCCCATGTCAACATATCCCACACCGTTTTTCAATTTTTGTGGCCAGCATTTGACTTTGGTTTGTCCTTGCCGAGGACCAGCTCACTTGTTGCCCGTCTCCCACACATCCTGCCGCTGCCCACTCCTGAGTGGTGTCCTTCGGTATTCTGTATGCTGCCT